CTTTTAGTACGCTTCCTTTGATGGCCTTTTGTGTTGTGTATTGAATGTTGTACTCAGTCAAGATCATTTTCCACCTGGCTATCCTTCTGGAGAGAGCAGGTCTCTCAAATATGTACTTGATTGGGTCCATCTTAGAAATCAACAGAGTGATATGAGTCAACATATACTGTCATAGCCGGCGAGTAGCCCATGCCAAAGCGCGACAAGTTTTCTCGAGCAGTGAATATCTGGTTTCACAGTCGGTAAACTTTTTTCTCAGGTAATAAATAGCATGCTCTTTTCGGCCATACTCGTCATGTTGGCCCAAAATGACACCCCATAGAATTATCTAGTACTATCAAGTACATGATCAAGGGTCTTCCTTCAACTGGAGGCATGGGAATAGGAGGATCTTGTAGATATTCTTTGATTTTGTCGAAGGCAGCTTGGCATTCATCATTCCATCTGACTACTTGATCTTTCTTCAAGAGCTAGCAGGTTGGCTCACAAGTAGCAGTCAAGTGAGATATGAAGTGGGCGATGTAATTGAGACGACCCAAGAATCCTCTAACCTATTTTTCAGAATGAGAGACTAGAATTTCTTGGATGGCCTTCACCTGGGCGGGATCAACTTCAATGCCTTTATTGCTGACAATGAAACCTAGAAGTTTTCCATATCGTACTCTGAACGTGCACTTGTTAGGGTTTAACCTCAACTTGTACTTTTTCAACCTTTCGAACACCTTATACAGGTGGTAGAGATGTTCCTCTTCATTTTGTGATATAGCAGTCATATCATCCACATAGACCTCTATTTCATGATGAATCATGCATGAAACAAAGCTACCATAGCTCTTTGATATGTTGCCCCTGCATTCTTCAACCCGAACGACATGACCTTGTAGCGAAAGGTGCCCCATTGCGTAACGAAAGTTGTCTTATCCATGTCTTCAGGAGCCATCCTTATCTGATTATAGCCGGAGAAACCATCCATGAAAGAGAAGACTTTATGCTGAGCAGTATTATCAACCAAGACATCAATGTGTGGTAGAGGGAAGTCATCCTTGGGGCTTGCCCTATTCATATCCCTATAGTCTATGCACATGCAAACTTTTCCGTCTTTATTTGGCACTGGAACCACATTGGCAACCCATTGGGGATAAGATGTCACAGCTAGGAATCCTGCATCAAATTGTTTCATCACCTCAGCTTTTATCTTCTCATACATGTCAAGCTTCGTGCGATGAACTTTTATTTGACAGGAGGACAATCTTCCTTTGTCGGTAGACGATGAACTACGATGTCGGTATCCAACCCTGGCATATCTTCATAAGACCAAGCAAATACTTCCACATAATCATGCAACATCTGAACCAATCTGCTCTTGACACTGCTTTCCAAGTTAGCGCCGATCTTGATTTCCTTCTTGTCTGTCTCATTACCCAAATTAATGACTTCAACTGACTCTTCGTGCAGCTGAATAGCTTTTTCCTCTTGTAATAGAAGTCTGGCTAGTTCTCCCGGTATATCACAATCTTCCTTTCCTTCGTCTTCGTCTTGGTTAATTGGATATTCGAAGTCATAGTAGGCAATAGTAGAGTCATTAGCAATGAGATCCATAGTGGATGAGGACCTGCAATAGTGTGTGTGTGTGTGTGTGTGTGCATGTAAGATACATGGCTATTTTCAAAAATGTAAGAAAGGAAAGAAAATGAACACAAATATTTGAATGCAAAAGAGTCCAATTGTTTGTATTGAATGATCATATAATTAGATGAACATAAATAAAACCCTTGACAAATGGACCAAAATGCCCCGGGCCAGGCACATGGCTTAAAAGTCATTGTTAAATATTACAGACAAAATATTCTTGAATTCGATAAGAAAGAAAAAAAAACAAGTGATTACTCCTCAATGAAGGAGATGGGCACAAAGTCCTTTGCATGCCAATTCTTTAGCTCCATTGTAGTAGGATACACCCAATCTTAAAATGCAGCTTCCTCATCAGAGTCACCTACAATGTTAACTTCATTGACACCCTTGTCATGTTTCGGCATAGGCGTGGTGATTACATTCGAAGTTGGAGGAGGATCAAATTCAACAATCTTGTTATCGATCAAATCCTGAATTTTATTCTTCAAGGCCCAACATTGGTTAGTCTCATGCCCAGGGCTACTTGTGTGGTAAGCACATTTGGCGTTCGGATTATACTTTGGTGAAGATGTATCTGGATTAGCAGGAGGATCGTGTAATGTCACCAAATTAGCCTTTAGCAAATGTTGTAAGGCTTGGGATAGTGACATGCCTATCCTCGTAAATTGTCTTCTCAGAGTTTCAAAACATTGATGATTAGCAGATGGTCTTGGAGTAGGAGTTGGATTGGATATTCGTACAACATTAACAGACGGATGATCATTCTTCTTGGTACGGGCCCTTGCCCCGTACACAACATTGATTTATTTCTTTGTGGCAAAAGGTTTCTTAACAGGATTAGAAGTGGAGGCAGATGCCACGAGAATCTTCCCGCTTTTGATGCCGCTTTCAACTCTTTCACCGATTAAGATTAACTCGGTTAAACCGGAAGAAGAACAACCGACCAACAAGTTAAAGAATGGAACAGATAAAGTGCCCATAAACATGTCAATGTGCTCCCTATCAGTCAAAGGCGGTTGAACCCTACTTGCAAGGTCTCTCCACTTTTGTGTGTATTCCTTGAATCCTTCATTCTTCCCCATTGTCATATCTTGCAACTGAACTCTTGTTGGTGCCAAGTCGGCATTATACTGGTACTGAAGGTAGAAGGCTGTAGCTAGGTCCTCCCAAGTATTGATACGGGAACCATCCTACTGGTAGAACCATTCTAGTTGCATTTCCGTCAAGCTCTCTTGAAAAAAGTGAACCCAGAGTTTCTTATCAGTAGTGTGCGGTTGTATCTTGCGCACATAAGATTTCAGGTGAAGTTTTGGACAAGAAACTCCATCGTACTTTGCAAAGACTGGTATTTTGAATTTGTGGGGAATGAAAACCCCAGAGATCAAACCTAAATCATCAAAATCTAAACCGGGGACGGCTTAGATCTCAACAGCCTTCAATATGTCTTATAAATGCTTGTATTTGACATCGGCGGGTGGATACTGCTCGTCTAAATAATCATCATCAGACACTTGATAATTAATACAGTCAACCTGGGTAATCTTAACCTCACCAATCTGATTCTCGTCTTCTTTAGATGAGTCTTCCACCACCGGGATATGACGAACCGACTCTTTGAACCTTCTGCCCATGTTGACCAGGGCTTTCTTCTTGGGTTTCTTCTTAACTTCCAGCAATGCCATCATATCTTGCTGCCCTTTGGCTAGGGCCAGTAGAGTCTCTTGGAATTGAGAGTTTTGTACCTGAAGATTCTTCATAGTTTTCTCTAGATCCATCTTGCTGAAATAAACAGCAGAAAGATAAGGAAACCTGTTATGTGAAAACATGTTATGTTATGATGCATGGAAGATGTATATGCAAATGATTTCAAGGATTTATGAAATTTAAATTTGTATAGACAAAAGAATGAACAAACGTCAATTTTCATTAATTAGTTCAAAATAATTACAACATGCCTCTAGGGCTTACAAAATAACTTTCTAAGATAAAAAAACTGAACATATCCTCTTCGGCGCAAGATAGGCGTTCACACTTTGCTCTTCTTGTAGATGCTTTGTAAGCTCCAAGACCCTCTTCTCGCTAGTGTAGAATTGAAATTCGAAGGTATCTCGTTCTTAATTCAGTTGAATCTAACCCTTTTGCAAGTCTGCAGGAGAAGTAGGCATGTCAGGATGGAGGACCGTGTACGCGACATCTCCTTTAACCACAGGTTCCATGATAACTGGTAAGATGGAGGGATAAGGCATCACAAGTTTCTGAGCACGAGCTCGTACCCGCCTAAGGTAAGGCTCAAGGGGAATGGAATTCTTGTGTCCCAACATCTTGCTATCCACTTTGCTTACCATCCTCCAAGATCATATAAACCTCTGACGGTAGCTTTGATCGTTGCTCTCGTAGTCGAATACCACTCCTTGAATGAGCATCTCATGTGGACCATCTCTTTGGGCGTAACCAAACTATCGTAAGGCTAAGCAAGGGTTGTAAGTGATACTTCCTATAATGCCAAGCAAAGGGACATTAGGGAATTCCCCACAACAATCGATGATAGTAACATTCTCCAAGGATCGAGAACACCAATGAACATCTGAATGTCTGAGCGTCATTAGCCTATGGGACCATCTCAAACCTTGCTCGTTCTTCAAAACAGATCGGGGAAGATGCGAAATAAACCATCTTGCCAAGAGAGGAGTGCAACACATGAGGATCCCTCTTTTCCTCATGGTGTGAGAGTGAAAAGAATGTAGGATATCCCCCAACAAAGTAGGCACTGGATTGCGAGACATGAAGATTTTGACAGCATTTACATCTATGAGTTGGTCAGGGTTTGGAAACAAAACCATCCCATAAATGAGAAGGGCCAAGATTTCTTCAAAAGCTTGTAAGTCCAAAGAGTTCCAACAATATTGAGCTTTCTCAAGCAAGAACTTGGCTAAGAAACCGTTGACACCACTCCTTGTTTCCAAATTAGTTGTGATATCAGATTGTTGCAAGTGTAATGCTTGGGAAATCTCTTCAGGTTTTGGATCTCTTTCCGTACCTTTGAAAGGTAGTTGATTGAGAATGGGAATCCTCAAGAGTTGAGAGAATTATTCCAGAGTTGGTACAAGCTGATAATCGGGAAAAGTGAAGCAATGGTGTAGAGGATCAAAGAATTGGAAAAGCACCTTCATCATATCTACATCAGTGTTGGAGGTAACCAGCTTAGGAGGCGACCATGTCTTTCAGTGATTTGAGAATTCTCAGAAACCCTTGATGCTAACTCTTTGAGTTGAGGAGGAATTCTTACGAGATTGACTTGGATAGTGTTCCTGCGGATAGAAGCCATGTCCTACGAAACAGAACAAAGATAAATCCCAAAAATCCTTGAAATGGTTAGTGAGAATGAGTATGATGTTATGATGTTTATGATTTCATGTACAAGTAAGTATATACAAATAAGCCAAACAAGTCCTTAGGTTTAGGCTTGCATGGATTCTCATAGGTAAGTACCCTCTTGAAGTTTAGTTGGCTCAAACCTGTCCTAGAAAAAGTAACCGGGTTCTAAGGGATCTCAATATCACTGATCTGTCTTATCGGGCATTGTTTCAGCGCAAGTCTCTTTCACGATGACCAAAGTATCCCGAGAAGTCAAATCTCAATGAGTGTAGTATCGAGTATCAATCAACTTTGGACTGCACCAAAGCCGGTTATGTCACTACGTCCTAATGGCCAAGTTGGTCAAGTAAATATTCTAAAGTCAGTTAGTGCTTCATGACACCACACAGCGGCCCCGTATTCTCCTTGACTACTCAAGGGCTACTAGTACCCACAAATGTGTCACACTAACATCGCTATTACTTAGACCATGTTGGTATACCCTGCACAGTTTCCATAATGTATTGCTACTTACCTATAAGGTATCCCCAAATCTGGGTAGAGGATTAGAACAAACCCAAACAAGGAACCAAAATGTAAATCAAACAATGAAAGCAAGTAAAGGTGATCTAGCCCTAAGGTAACCCCACTTCTATGAAATTCCCCAGCAGAGTCGCCAGTTCTGTAGTACGGTGGGAGAACTGACTTGGGTATTTTGCGTTTTATCACAAATATTGCGGTTAGCAAGAGTCGCCACCGACTTTTCTTTTATCCAAAAGGAAAGGCTGAAAAGAACAGGAAAGACCTTTGAGATTATTTCTCGAGTTCGGGGGGTAGATTATGAAAAGGGAAGGTGTTAGCATCCTTTTCATCCATAGTTATCTATGGGCTCTTAGTTGCTTGCTAGATCACTTGCTTTTGTTTGAAAATGTTCTTTGTGTGGTTTTTTGAAAGTATTTTGAAAAGGCGCATTCGTTTAGGCAAACTTTGTAATAGTTCTCGTTTGTAAGAGAGTATACAAAGTGTTGAGCTTTTGAAAATATTTGATGTTTGGAAAATGTTTTTGAAAGTGTTTGGTGTTTGTTTTGAAAAATAAGCAAGGATGTTTGATTTGAAAATGAGCAAGCAACTAGGAACAATCTACCTACTCAAAAGCCTTTGTTCATTTCTTTCTTTCCTTTGATATTACTATCTTACCATTGATTTGGTAAGAAGCCTTATCTTTGGATGTAAAGGGACAAGCGTGGGTCATTGTATAGTCATGATAGCAATGTCGTGAGATATCTTAGCATTTTTCTTTGAGGGACTAAGATGATTTTGAAAGGCAACATTGATAGCGTCATCGAGGGACTATGATCTTGTATTTTTGATTTGTTTTTGCTAAGACATCCCACATGCATAACATGGCCATTTTGGTAAGGCAATAAAGTGGAATTACCCTAAGGGTGCAAGTGTGTTTGATTTACAGGCATTGTTTATCTTGAATTAGGGTTTGCTAATTGTTGATTTTATATTCCCATACAAACCCTAATTACTAGCATTTATATAAAGCGATAAATTGCGGAAAGTAAAATTACTACGCTATTACATCATTAGGGGAGCGGGTATACAAATTTACAAATGGGGATTTGCAAGAAAATTAAACCTAATTATCTATTACAACCATATTGAATAATATACAAGAATTGAATAAATAATGTACAAGGATATAAATGAAAAAATAAAATGATTTCAATTTGGTTTTTAATGAAAGGGTTTTAACCTAATTAAAGAAAATGATTAATTAAAATTAAACAAAATTAAACCTAAACTAGTTAATAAATAAATTAAGTTAAAACATATTTTAGGTTTTTTTTTTTGTGAAAGGTTTTAACTTAATGAAAATAAAATGAAAATTAGGATTTTACGACACAAAAATTGCGACAGTTACTTGATAACCGTCGTAATTCTAATATAGAGACACATTTCACGACGGTATACACCAATCGTCCTTATATATTTAAAAAATTATTAAATATTGCGACAGTTTTTTATTAAACCGTCCTAAAATCAATGTCGCGACGGTTAACAAACCGCCATAAAATACACATCACGACGGTATAACAACCGTCGCCCCGTACACTACAAAAAAGTGATAATAATATAATATATTTATATATTTATCAAATTAAATTAATATAAAAAAATTAAAAGATTTTCTAACAAAAGAACATAACAGGTCCAAAAGCTTCTCCTTTTTTCTCTTCTCGTCGCTGCCCGACATCACCGGCTTCCACCACAACCATGTCTTCTCTTCATTTCAACCTCCATCCACTCCCTCCATCTTCATCTCCACTACTCACCACCACCAACAACATTTCTTCCTTCTCCCCCACTTCCCTCTCCATCTTCTACAACAACCACCACCACCTTCTTCGCTTCAATCTCATCGGGATTTGAAGCCGCAGAATTTGCTTCTCGATCAACAGCAAGGGATTTTGAAGATTGCTGATCTTGGTCTTGGGAGGGCTTTTACCGTCCCGCTTAAGAGTTATACTCATGAGATTGTTACTCTTTGGTATAGAGCTCCTGAAGTTTTGCTTGGATCTACTACCTACTCTACTAGAGTTGATATCTGGTCTGTTGGATGTATCTTTGGTACGTCATTCTCTCGATTTCAATTCTTTTTTCTACTTCTTCTTGTTGTTGCTGCTAATTTACCATAATTAGGGTTTTGGATCTCATAGTAGAATTGTTGCACTACATAGTATAATTTGAACAAATTGTTAGGGTTTTGTGTAAAATTAGGTGGATTCGCGGCAGTGATGTGTAGCAGAACTCAAATGAAAATTTTTGATCTGCTATTGATAATACCTAAGGTGCCTTAAAGTATTTCATGATTTCGGTTGAGTTGGATTGCATCCCAAATATGACTTTAGGAATCAAATTGAATGGAATTGAGTTGGGGATTATTTTCATGAGGGAGAATATCGTGAATCTCTTAAGACGGTTTTTGTGATTTGGATACTTTTCTTTCTCTATTAATGATGGAAATGTAATTGATTGATTGATTGATTGTTTGTTTGTTTATGCAGCTGAAATGGTGAGGAGACATGCTTTGTTTCCGGAGGATACTTTCCTATTTTGCAGGCTTGCAATAGCTCTGCAGTAACATATGTTCCATTGTATGACACCCTTGGTATGTGTTTTCTGCCTTCACAGTTGTTTGTGTCCGATAACAAGTTGTTTGGTTGGATAACTATATGCTCTATTATAAGCATAAGCTCTTTTCATATAAGTGCTTATAATATAAGCTATTTCTAAAGCAAAATAAATTAAGTCAATCCAAACAAGATAATATGATTTCCTTTATCAATTCAAATATATCCTCTCTAGAAGTTTTGAACACAAACAAGAGTATAGTTGTAAATGCTCTAATTAACTTGTGTTTACGCCTAACAGGTCCTAATGCTGTGGAGTTTATCATAAACCATGCTGAAGTTTCAATCGCATTTGTTCAAGAAAATAAGATTGCATCAGTATGTTCTAGCTTTTTGAGCTCAATGTTTTAACAATTGCAACATGGAATGTCTAACACATTTAACTGTTTCAATGTTAAATCTTCTGAGAAAAAACTAACGTTCGTTTCCACAGATTTTGTCATGTCTTGGTCGGTGTTCTTCAAATCTTAAAAGTAGGTCAAGCATTCCTGTCTTATTTAAGATTAAGTTTTTTTTTACTACATTTAATGCAGACTAACCTGTTTAAATCAATGTTGTAGCTATTGTGAGCTTTGGAAATGTTTCAGCCGCACAAAAGAAGGAAGCTGAGGAATTTGGCGCGTCCTGCTTCTCCTGGGAAGAGTTTCTCCAGTTGGTAAGATATTAGTGTTTTAAACTGTGGTTACAGTCACGGTTACTATGAACGTTCATGGTTCGATTCAAGAAGAATCAAACTCTTACAACAGTTTGCTAAAACTGAACTGATAAGCTTGTTTTCAACTGCTTCAGGGAAGTTTAGATTGGGATCTACCACTGAAAAAGAAGACTGACATTTGCAAAATAATGTACACAAGTGGAACAACCGGAGAACCGAAAGGTGTCATTATTAAGAATGAGGCATTCATGTCTGAAGTGTTGTCTATTGATCAAATTATCATGTTAACAGACAGAGTGGTAAGATAACCCTTTTTTTAAAACTTTATCGATTTCATATTGAAGATTTTCTGTTCTATAACTACTTGTGGAAAAGTTTGTCCAAACATATATCCAAAATTAATACAATGCATGAAAAACAAAGTTTGTGAAACCATATAGTAGTGACAGGAAATATGCAACATTGTATTAAGTCATTTCTGATGCAGAGAATAAGTCATTTTTGGCTGCTGAGGCAGTCAAGGAGACAGAAAGATATGCAAAGTTTGTCGAGGAGAATGATGCAATGTTAAAGTTTGCTGAAGAGCTTTTAGAAAAATGTAAGCTTGGTGAAACTTTTCGCTTCACTTAAATTGGTAAATGCTAGGTTTATAGTGTTTTTGTTTTTACATGTAAATTCGTTCATCCATTGAAAAATGCTTTTATGACGCTCCCCCTCACCCCAATAGAAAATTTAAACCCCGTTAGTATAATTTTTTGTCAAGTTCCTTCTGAGACCAAAAAGTTTATGTGTTACTATTTTTTTTTTGGGAATAAAATTGGTTTATTTAGTTTTATGAAAGTTCCTTTCAGACTAGTGTCGTAACTAGACAAGACTTGTTAATAGTCGTGACATTGCAACATACAACTTTATACGATAGATACATGGTAATGAAATATATGGCTCATACATGAGAATGAAGAAGGTAATACTATTGGTTTGTGCTACTTGCTAATTTGCTTTTGTATTTCCTATTGAAAAAAGAGACAACTAGTATTAATTAGTGGCTCAACTAAAGAACACTTCTATTTCCTGTTGCATTTTTTATGCTATCTCATGGTATGTGAGGGTGCTTCAGCTATTTGGGCAATGGATAGGCTCAGTTCTCGTGAATGTTTTTGCCATAACCTATGTCTATCAAAAGAACAAAAAATCCACATGTCTCTATAAAAATTTAATTTAATTTGCTTGTGTAATTCATCATTTTCTTTTGACATTATTATAGATTAACAATTTAAATTCTGATTACAATTTAGTATCAATATATCAACACGAAGAAACTAAGCGGACTATCATAAGGCTGGAGCAGGGTGTTCACTCTTTCACGCAAAAAGCCATGGCTTCACACGGAGCATTGGCAATGTTATATGGCTGCCACTCAAATTACTATATCAAGAAACCTGAGGTATTTGTCAATTAAGCACAACAAATTCTTTATTGATCTACATGTTGTTTGGAAATGTTTTCCAATTTTACTTTTTGAATGTAAGTATAACACTCATGTTACTTTTTATAATAATTTCACTATGGTAAAAAAACTCGCATGCATTACAGATACAAGTTCACATATTTTCTGTTATGTCAAACAACAAAGATCTGTTATGCGATTATTAACATCAATGGTTTTTTAAAAATGCCCCAACTTAACTTAATGTTTTCTTTTTTAAATTGGAAGAGTAAATATTTGTGGTGTCTTATTGTATCATACTTTTTCTTATCGTAAACGCATGCGATTGTAGAATTTAAAAAGAAATATACTTGGATCTTTGAGCTTCCTACACTTTGCTGAAAATTCAAATGCTATAACAGGGAAGTTTGTCGCCAAGACGCCTTGATACATATCCAAATTTGATTAGGTTTCTCCTTAGCGGAAAGTGAATTTTATTTTATTGGAGATTTTGTTGTAGTTGATTTTTCTGTACCTTATAACTTTTCATACAATTGGAGTTTGATTGTGAGTTATTCTGCCAGCCCATAATTGACAGTTAGTTTTGTAATGCAGGTACAAGAAGAAGCGCAAAATGGACAAGTAGAATTGGAAAAACATGTCATCACAAAGACATTGACTAAGCCATCTGAGGCATATTATGATGCCAAAAACCTCCCTCTAAAGGTTTACAGCTTGTAGTCCAGAGTTAAATATCATACAAAAAGGAGTAAAAGTATAGTTTCAGTATAGTGAAAACGAATGGATTAACTCAAGACAAACATATTCAATGCATTAATGAGAACAAACAAAGTCTGACATAAGGACAAATGTTTAAACAGACAAAGAAATTACAACTGGAAATTCGAATGAACAAAAATTTCTCCGCCTAAACTTTGTCACTTCAGATAGTGTGTCTTTGAAGGATGACAGAAAAACTCTAGTTGACCATCTTATGTAAATTCCAACACTCATTTGTCGATCAGGTATTGAATTTTGTTCTTCAATGCCCAACAATGATTAGTGTCATGTCCATGACAGTTGGAGTGGTATGCGCATCTTTCATTGTATTTGTAGTTGGGAGCAGAAGTGTTAGGTTTTTGAGGAGGTTCCCTTAATATAACCAGCTTGGCCTCCAACATATGATACAATGCTTGAGTCAAAGAAATGTTGATCTTGGTAAATTGTCTTTTGGGCATGTCTTGCTTACGCTGACCATCCCTTCGTGGATGGCGAGGTCGTTGTTGAACTCTTGGTATAGTAGCCATTTTGAAAGGTGTTCTCTCAACCAAATCTTCTTGTTTCATATGAGGCTGGTTAATGAATCGATCCCCAATTCTAGTTGTTTTCTCCATATGGTTGCATCTATCTTGATGAAACTTATTGACGAGAACTCTCAACCCTTCTTGTCCCCGAGCTAAGTTTTGGACAAGAGTCATCTGTCCCAACATCTGAACTCTCATTGTTGCTACCTCAGCTTGTAATTGCTTCAACTGGCCATCCTTTTCATCTTTAGGATTCTTCTCGGTCATGCTCTCAATAAGAAGTGCTTCACTTTTCTTGCCCCTTAGATAAATTCAGGAACAAATCTTGAAGCTGGTCATTTTGAGTCTGAAGGTCTTGGACAGTTTGTTCAAAAGCCATTTTTTACTGAAATAAACAGTAAGCAGATGAGAAAACTTGTATAGGGGAAACTTGTCATGATATGATGCATGATATGTGGACGTAATGTTTTCAAGTATCTCGCGAGGTAAACATAAGAAAATGTTAGAAGTTGGATTTTAATCACAACTTTTATTGAAGAACTTTGTACCGTTGAATGTCCTTCTACGAGAATCAAGCTCACCATATCAAGTGGGCCATAGCCCTTGACTCAAGTTATCATGGTTTTGTTTTTGACGGAATTTGGTTAGAGGAAAATAAATCATCTCGCCCCTTGATAGATGTTTGGTTCAACATAACCCTGTATCACAAACCCTTGAGATCCTTGAAATGGTTATTGAAAATTCTATGGTATGATGCCATGATGTTATGTACAAGTAATCATACACGAACAAAGCAAACAAGTCGTTACGTACAAATAATCATATACAAACAAAGCAAACAAGTCTTTAGGTTTAGGCTTGCATGGAGTTTATAGGTAAGTACCCTCTTAAAGTTTAGTTGGTTCAACCTGTCCTAGAAAGTAATCGGGTTCTAAGGGATATCAATATCATTGATCTTTCTTCATCGGGAATTGTTTTAGCGCAAGCCTCTTTATTGGCGACTGAAATATCCCGAAAGTCCGATCTCAATGAGCGTAGCATCGAGTATCAACCAGTCTTCGGCTCTAAACCAAAGCCAGCTATCTCGCTACTTCCTAATGGACAAGTTGTTCAATTAAAGGTTCTAAGGTCAGTTAGAGCTTCATGAAACCGCTCAGCGGCCCCGTATTCTCCTTGATTTAACACAAGGTATACCAGTATCAACAAATGTGTCACACTAACGTAGCTATCGCTTCAACATGTCGGTATACCCTGCACAATCCCCATGATCTATTGTTACTTACCTAATAATGTTCTCCGATCTGGGTAGAGGATCAATACAAACCCAAACAAGGACCCATAAACCTACAGCAAACAAATCAAACAAGGAAAACATTTAAAGGTGATCTAGCTCTAAGGTAACCCCACTTTTAAGACCTCCCTAGCAGAGTCGCTAGTTCTGTAATTCGGTGGGAGAACTGACTTGGTTGTTTTACGTTTGATCGCAATTGTTGCGGATAGCAAGAGTCACCACCAACTTTTCTTTTATCCAATAAGGAAGAAGTGAAAAGAATATGAAAGACCTTTGAGATATTTTCTTGAGTTCAGGGGGTAGATTATGAAAAGGGAATGTGTTAGCACCCTTTTCATCCATAGTTATCTATGGGCTCTTAGTTGTTTGCTAGATCACTTGAAAATTGCTCTGTTTGAAATGTGTTTGTGGTGGGTTTTGAAAGTATTTTTGAAAAGTGCCTTCATTTAAGCAAACTTTGTAATGATTCTTGTCTCTAAAATAATGCATACAAAGTGTTGGACTTTTGAAAATATTTCATGTTTTTGAAAGTATTTAGTGTGTTTGAAAATATGTTTGTCTTTGAAGATGGATTGTGAGAAAGCAACTAAGAACGTTCTACCTACTCAAAAAGTCTTTTGTTTATTTCTTCCTTCCTTTGATATTGCTATCTCACCATTGATTGGTAAGTAGCCTTATCTTTGGATGTAAAGGGACGGGCGTGGGTCATCGTATAGTCATGAATAGAAATTTTTCGAGATATCTTTGCATTTCTCTTAAGGGACTAAGATCATTTGTAAGGCAACAATTGTATTGTCATCGAGGGACTATAATCTTGTATTTTTGATTGTTTTTGCTAAGATGTCTCACATGCATATTATGACCATTTTCTCAAGGCAACAAGTGGAGTTAACCCTAGAGTTGCAAAGTGTGCAAGTGTTTGTATTTCATGCTTGGTTTAATCTTGAATTAGGGTTTTCTAAACATTGGTTTTATCTTGCCATACAAACCCTAATTACTAGCATTTACATGAAAGCGATAAATTACGAAATGTAAATATCCTACGCTATTACATCATTTGGGGATGGGGGATAAATTTACAAATGGGGATTGCAAGAAATTAAAATCTAATTATCTATTACAACCATAATGAATTTTAATAAATAACGTACAAAAAATGTAAATGAATATAATACACAAGTAATAATATGAATATCATGTACAAGAATTGAAATGAATAATATACAAGAATATAAAGCAACAATGTATAAGGTAATCAATGAAAAAGAAATGAATTATTTGGTTTTGTTAAGAAAAGGTTTTTATTTTAACCTAATAACTAAAAATAAAATGATTTAATAAGAGAGAAAAAATAGCTTAATTTAGAAAAATATTTTTTTGTGTTTTTTTTAGGAAAAGATTCTAATATTAACTAAAATAGCATAAAAATAAATTAAGTTAAGAGAAACCCTAAATTCTAAGTTAGTTTGAATAAAAAAAGAAAATAAATAAACCTAGGTCTAATTATTAAATTAAGAAAAGAAATTAAATTTGTAATAAAAAATATTATTTGTCTTTTGTTTAAATAAAAATAAGAAAGAAGTAAAATACAAGTATTACAAGTATAAATAATGAATAAAAATATTTTTGGATTTTTTTATGGATAGAGGTGTAACTAAAGGCTAATTAGACTAAATTAAATTTCTAAGATATTAAATTAAACCTAAACTAAGCTAAAAATACTAAATTAAGTATAAACTAAATTATAAGATTATTAAATTAAATCTAAACTAATATAAACTAAATTAATTATAAAATGCTAATTTAAATCTAAACGTGATTAATAAGTAATTTACTAATTTAGAATTAGACTAAAATTACTCTTAAGACTACTAATTTAAATCTAAATTAAAACCAAATTCTAAGACTATTAACAATAATTCTTAAATTAAAAAAGGAAAAATATTAAATTAATTTAAAAATGATGTTAAAACAGAAAAAACAGGGTGTAGCAATAGTAATCCGCGTGTGTTTAAAACAGCAGGCCCAACAACCTTATTGTTTTGTTTTTGCTGAAACTAGAAAAGAACAAACAAGGGGGTGCGGATTCAGATGGGCCTGACTTTTTGGACAAAAGGTTTAAATAGTAAAAATAATATATAAAAAAAAGATGGGGCCTAAACAAAATCGGGTCGGGTCAGACCCATGCCCCAACCCTTCTCCTAAAAACAAAAGGAATGTGTTAGGAAACCCTAACACAAATCGTATACCTCCTTGAAGCTTCCCCTATCTCTTTCAATGAATAATCTTCATCTTCCTCTGCTTCTTCGTCCGATTTCCATCGTCGTCGACCCTAGAATCCAACTGACCTTGTGCATGCCTCGACCACCTTGCTCATATCTCCATGTTCTCACTCAAATCTCGTTGTCGTCTCAATTTAAAAAAAACCTCACCCTACGATTCTCTGAATGGCGATGGAAGATCAGAGTGGTGATTATTATTCGCGTAAATTCGTGAGGGCCGCTTGCTGCGTTTGCTGGTGGAGCTGCATGTGTAGAGGGCTTCGATCGGATTTCCAGGCTTTGCGTAGCTTTGGGTGAGATTGTTCCTCTACTTTTCTCTTATTCTGAAGGGCTAGGTTTTCTTGTGAAAATGATGTAAAAACTTGTTAGGGTTTGATGTTGTTGTTGTTCTATTTGTTTGTTGGTGAATGATGATGGTCCGGTTTTATATTGTTGTGAACTTAAGCTTAAGAATTTCGTTGTTTTGTTTTGTTATGTTTTTGTAAACAATCTTGAGGGGTTTGAAAAATGGTGGTGTTGGTTGTGTTCGTGTATTCTGTATATTTTTCGTTGAACAAAATTTTGAGAGTTTTGTTTCACTTTGTTTTTTGTTACTAATAAGGACTTTGAGGGAAGCTTGTTTTGTCACTTTTACTGATTTTTGATAACTTTGTCTGGTTTCTGTGATGCTAGCTTATTTTGGTACTTTTAGTAGGCTAGCTTGTTGACTTTGTACCTTGTTGCTTGCCTTTGTGGTATTGATTGATTTGATTTTATACAGTGATGAATACTTTTCTGAGTTTGTACCTTGTTGCTTGCTGGAATGTTCACTTATTTGTGATAAAAGCTGGCTTTTTTATTCATGCTTGTACTGGTTGCTTGTGA